AAAAAAAAAAATCAAATCAAAACAGGAAAGCCCAGACCTAGGAGAAATCCAGAGGAGTGGTGAGCTAAGCCCCGTCAAGGTGCTCCCATCTGTCAGAATCACACATTCCAAAGTGGCAGAAATCTACTGTCCAAAAACGTCCAATTACTTCCGGACTCAGCGAGGCAAGCTCAGGCAGCACCAGGCTCAGCCCATGTGAGATGCCTCCTCCCAATCACAGACCACTGTTCCCTGGTCCAGGAGCTTCAAAGAATTGGTGCTGGGCAGAAAAGCACCTCAGGACAGAGCAGCTTGCAGAGTGGGCCAGCACAGCACGAGAAGGAGGAGGAGAGGGCAAGGTAAGTAGACTGATCTCCCTCTGCAAGGAAGACAACTGCACTCTCAATGGCTAGGCTGCTTTCCTGGGAGGCCAGCTGGGGTCTGAAAGGGCAAAGGGGAGAAGATCATTTCCTCGGGGATACATCCGTCATTTTCTGTAACTTAGAATATTATAACAATTTTGTTCTCTTTTACTTTAAATGGTACAAATTGCTTTCTTAAACCATTTGATATTGCCCACTTCTCAGAACCGAGGTTACAATTCTCGGAGTATTATTCACCCACCCTGATTCCAACCTCCAGTTTCCTGACAGAAAGACCAAGAAAAATTCAAGAACCCTGGGAAAACCTTTATCTCCTGATTAAAATTTCGGACAGACCCTGTGGACCCCAATTTCCTGGTGAAGTCAGAGAAGCAAAAAGAAAATTTAAGGAAACAGGCCATGTTCTTTCTTAATAATGTAGTAGGGAGAAAGTTCCCTGGTTGTCTTGTCAGAAATCATTTGATCCTGCCTACTCGTAATGGGATTTGTGAGGCAATTTACTCATGTTTCTTCTCTGCAAACAGTTCTGTTTAATAAATGTGTCAGTCGAAATTAAGTCAACAAATTAGCTTTATCTATGCAATGTTATTTTTACATAATTTATTTTTACTCTTCACTAATTAGTTGATCTACAGGATCCCCAGGTCCTAAATATATTTTTCATTCTAACAACATTTCTACACATAATATGAGTTAAGTTTCAAATAATGCTAGTATTATTCTGTGTAAGTTTAAAACCCCACTTATAACTAATTTCAAAGATCTTGAACACATTTTGAATTTCATTAATTTCAATGTCTTTTTTAAATTAAAGACAATGTTGGTTGACCGTTTCTCAATATATATACATATTTTTACATACTTAAATAGTTTTCAAATCTTGTAAAGAAATGGTTTTCCTTTTGATTAGCTCTTCTCAATGAGGAGAAAATTTTCTTATTTTGCTTTCTGCTGCAACAGACTTTTTTTCTTTTCTGCTACAATAGGCTTAAAAATCAACTCATCTACTTTTTTTTTTTTTCTTTAAAGATTTTATTTATTTGACAGAGAGAGAGGGAACACAAGCGGGGGGAGAGGGAGAAGCAGGCCTCCCACAGAGCAGGGAGCCCAATGCGGGGCTCGATCCCAGGACCCTGGGATCATGACCTGGGCCGAAGGCAGACGCTTAACGACTGAGCCACCCAGGCGCCCCTACTTTTTTTTTTTTTTATTACCTGGAAAGAATATAGACTTGTAAATCCAAAGGGGAATTTACACACCATTTAGTCAAGAAAAACAAATGAAATCTCAGAATTTCTTTTTGACCTCTCCTGCTTACATTCTTACCAAGAGCAAACATTGATCAGCCCATGCAGGCTGCCCACACCCCTGATGTTCCCTAACTGGGGCAAAGACCAAATTCATGAAGAGGTGCCCTAATCTTACTTCTCCCAAGGAGTCTCTGTAGCATTCTTGCCTTGGGGCCAGGCTTCCTGCTGGCATTGCCCACACCTGAGGTTCTCACTTGGCTGAGAAAGCCTGAGCCATTGCTTCTATCTCAGTCCTGACTTCAGGTGGGTGAATGACTCTGAGGTCAGCATGGCAAGCATCAGGAGTCTAGAACTCTCTGTGATGATGGAAATGTTCTATACAATAGCCACTAACTACCTATCTGTGGCTATTGAGCACTTAAAATACGGTTAGTGTTACTAAAGAACTGAATTTTAAATTTTATGTAATTGAACTAGTTGGAATGAAAATACATGCAGCTACTAGTTACCATATTAGAGAGAGCAGGTTTAAAGCTTTAAAGCAAGAAAAACCAATGGAGGCTGTGAGCCCTGGGTGTCATGACCATGGGAACAAGCACCATTTTTCATCATTCCCAGGGACTCATCCTACCCTAAACTTAAGCAGACAGCAACTGTTCTGATCCAAAAATCCTTACACCCATCTTTCTTCTCCCCTCTAAGTCATACAACTGTCTACTCTTGTTCTGGGTTTCAAGGTCAGGGCTAAGGCAACAGCACGGTGTGTTTCTTTTTCCTCCTCTTATTTTTTTTTTCTTTTGTTAATCCAAATTTCTCTAGCATGAGCTAGAGTTTGAGGTGTGGTTTGCATGCTCTCTGGTCCAACAAATTTGAGTGAGGAAAAGAGGTAATGAATTTGAAAATATAATCTCATACTTGGGAGAGTCTCACTTCTTTTTCTTCTGCATTGCAAGTGGTTTGTTTAGTGAGCAATGGTTTTTAGACCTATTCAATGTGTCTGGAAACATCAACACTGTGGAGATGAGTAATTTTGATAAGAAAACAAACTGAATGAGGGCACAAGGAAAAAAACAAAATAAAACTCTAGCTTTTCGAAATGTTTGCATTCCTCAGAGCAAAGGAGCTCCTGGGATGTTGAACAGTTTGAGTATATCGTCATGGTGCCAGGCACTGGGCAGTTTTCCACAAGGTGGGGCTCACAGAGGCTATTCTTGAATGTGGAAAACATTTTGAGGCAAGCTGCATACCTTCAGTCAGGGGTGATAACATTTCTGCAGTGGACAGCCGCTACTTGGCTCTCTGCCCTCTACCAATCCCACCTTTTAAAATTCACCTCACCCCATTTGCTTCTTTGCTATCCCTGCCAAGTTTAAGAAGAAATCTAATACCTATGAGGGTAGTGCTACTTTGGAATAACACAGGAAAGTTTCCACAGACCCCATATTTGAAATAGCTGATACATACTGGAGGCTACAAGGGAAGGTAGGAGGGGAAGACACATCATATTGTCAGGACTCAGTCTCTATCCACGGAATACAGACCCAAGACTCCAGATCATGCATTAGGTTAGTCCACTGAGGCTCTACACTCCTTGGGTCTCTTTCTCTCTCATGCGTCTTTCCTTTCCCTTTGGAAATACAAGGAAGGGATTTGATAAAATCATTCACAATGAGGCATTGACACTGATGACTCATAAGACTCACTGTGCCTCTTTTATATGGTTGTGCATTCTGATCAGGAGCAAAAGAGTAATTCTCTTGTGGGATTTCAGAAATTAGGGTAAAGAGGGAGGAAGACTGAATGGAGGGCAAAGACAGAAGGCTCTCTCTTTGCCAGCTTTGTTTATGTGACTCCCTTCATGGCTTAACCTGTAAGAGAAAAGAGCAGGGCAGGGCATGGGACTTTCTCTCAACTCTAAAGAAACATAAAGGGAGGTGATTAGTGACAAACTCAGTAAAAGGCTGTGAAGAGTCAGGAGAGCTGGACTTGAATCTTGACTCTACAAACAACACATCCGTGATCTTGAACAAGTCACTTCGCCTCTGGGAGCCTCAGTTTCCTCATTTGCACAATGAGAGGACTGACTACAAAGCCTCTACATCTTCAGCCAAATAAAGAGAAATTAGTTTTACGGAAGTGGCTCCCGTGGCTGTAGGGGCTCACAAGCCTGAAATCTGGAGGGCAGCCGCAAATTCAGGAAAGAAGTTGATGCTGCAATCTTGAGTCTGAAATCTGCAGATGAGCTTTCTGTTTTGCAGTTCGGGGGCAGAATGGCTTCTTCCTCGGGAAATCTGTCTTTGCTCTTAAGGCCCTCAGCTGATTGGAAGAGGCCCATCCATGTTGTGGAGAGTAATCTGCTTTCTTCCAAGTCTCTTGATTTAAATGTCAATCACATCTGTAAAAATGTCTTCCAGCCATAGCTAGACTGGTATTTGACCAAACAACTGGGCACCGTATCCTAGTCAAGGCCCTAGAGAACACCACAGTTTATAGTTTGTATGGAGAGTGCTACCATCTGTCCTTACCTTTTGTTCTCTCTCCAGGCCTGTCCTCTCCAGTAAGGGCAATACATTCATAATGTCTTTTTTTTTTTAACAGCCATCAGTGTGAAAATTTGTCAAAGTTTTTCTTGTTTTAACTTAAATTAGTCTGCCCTGGTGCACAGGCATTCAGAGCCTTCAAAGAACTCTGAAAAATGAGCCAGGCCTGATGGTTTCCTTTCATGGAAATCATGTTGCCTTTGCTCCAAGTTTGGCAAGAACCCCTTCCCGGACGCTCCTCCAGCTGTCTATTACGGAAGTCACCTGTTTTCCAGGGAACTTTCCTAGAAGTGTTCCACTCAACACAGGTCTCTTTGACACAGAGACTATGTAATATCAACATTCACATTTTGACCAGCGTTTTCCAACTTCACTCTTGAGTGTCTCCTAACTCCCTGGGAACTAACTTTCTAGCTCAGTATTTTTCCTACATCTTTCATTCCTCTTAGTTCTAGAAGAGTGGTTCGTAGCCACTCTGGGGCTCACCATGTGGCTCAGAAATTCATAGTTGATGAGGGAAAGCTCTCCACTCTTGCTTCAGCCAAATTTTGATCTGGTTTTATATATTAGCATCCCATATTAAAATCTTATGTCCTTTGAAATGTGGCTCTGTGTTTTAAAACAAAATTAAATCACTAGTTTTAGGTGCTTTCACCATTCAAGTCTGTTGGCTTGGTCTATCTGCTTCAAGAAATTGAGGCAAAAGTAAAGAAAATGAATATTAGTTGAGGAACTAATATTGTTAGTATTCACCTATATTCTCACTGAATTTTCACAGTGACCTTTTGAGTTAGTTACTGTGATACCCATTTAGAGATAAAGCTCAACAAGATTAAGAAACTACCTGAGCTCATAAAACTGCTAAGCAGCAGGGACGCCTGGTGGCTCAGTCGGTTAAGTGTCTGCCTTCAGCTCAGGTCATGATCCCAAGGTGCTGGGATCAAGTCCTGCATCGGGCTCCCTGCTCAGTGGGGAGCCTGCTTCTCCCTCTGCCTGCCACTCCCCCTGCTTGTGTGCTCTCTCTCTCTGACCGATAAATAAATAAAATCTTTAAAAAACAAAAACTGCTAAGTAGCAGAGCAGAGATTCAAACCCAGGTCTGTCCAAATCCCTTGCTCATCCCATTTCACTGTACTTTCTAACCCGTTCTGCAACAGAGGTCTCAGCGAACAAGTCACTCATATGT